CCTCAATGCGGCAGGTGTACAGTAGGTGCACTGCCTCAATGCGGCAGGTGTAGGTGCACTGCCTCAATGCGGCAGGTGTAGGTGCACTGCCTCAATGCGGCAGGTGTAGGTGCACTGCCTCCATCGTCGGTGGCTATCTGCCCGCTGTCGACAGGCGGGGAGTCCACACGAGGGCGGAGTTATTCCCAGGGCCCCAGTGGCAGCGGAGAGCTACCTGTGACGGGGCAGGTAATTTGTTTGTGTGCCTGTGGAGCGAGAGGAGGAGAGAGGTCGCAGCCCTTCCCTCATCTGTCTTTATTGACGACTGACAGGATGTGTCATTAAAGGACGCGGTCGCATGAATCATTCCCCTAATGGCCTCCACGGGCTGGAGCGAGGCCATGCCATTATCATTATCTGAAAACAGTGGCTAGAATAAAAATACATATATTCCGCAAATATCTTATAGGCAGTAATGGAGCCACCAGTTCCCGCAGGCTAAAGCTACGATGCACAGCGCCTGTGCAGTGCAAGGCCGCAGTGCGCTGTACAAAGCTTGTCCCACATGCACCGCAAACCAATGCGACTTTGTTCAGGCACCAACATCTGCATTGAAACCCTGAGTTCCCCTCGATCTGAAACTGAAAACAGGTCCTCCGGAGACTGCGGAAATGCTGAGGTGAGATTGCACGCTTCCTGATATCTACTGAGGCAATTCTGGGAGGAAATGAACTATGCAGTCCCAGCTCGCCCTCGCAAACCCTTCTCTAATCTGAACTCTGAGAAGCCATTTCTCACACTAGGACATTTAGTGCACACCACACAGCCATTCTCCAGCAAGCACATGGTACGTAGTAACAAGTCACTCACGTTCCTATGTAAACCCTGGAACTTTCTGGTTGCTGTGGCAACTGCTTGCTGCCAATGCTGCTCAGTGCTAGGAGCAACACTGAGCGCTGACAAATTGGTAATCAACACCTGAGGTGAAATTAAATGCATCAACCTTAGAAGTCCTTGAGTATCAGGAATACTATTCATTGGTCTGGCTTACTTTCTCATGGTTTGGTCATACAGATTGCTCTCTTTATTGCTGATCAATCACAACAATTTATGTTGCTAACACACTGGAAGCCATTTGAAGAATCTTGATTTTGCTAATTCGTTAGATTGCTTTATTTATTATGTCCAGAGTGTTGAACTGAGAAATCAAGCTCATGCCAAACAACAGACAATATTTCAAATCCATGAACAAACAAACCTATTACATCTATCAGAAGATTGCCTGCACGCATTAAGGATATAGCCAAGCAAGTTCTGAGTCTGCAGTAATTGTCACGGAAATAAGGAAAACTGTGTCTAATGACTCCAAGGGAAATAAATAGAAATGCCTTAATTCTACAGCTTGATGGCCAAAGTCGTCAGAAAAGATGTTCAATTGATGGAATTTTCCATACCAGACAAAAACAGGAAGCCTTCATTTAGCTAATGTGTCACATGTAGTTAATTAAAGTAGTGGGGATTGTGCTTGGGTGTAATGAGCAATGTCTTTAACAGGCTGCGACATCACTCCCGACGTCCCTGCCCCCCCCCCCATCCCACCCCCTGAACAGCGAATAAAAGCTCCATGCAACAAAGGGATCTTAGCGTATCCCAGGCCGAAGCCTCCACCCGTAACACGCAGCCAGCACACTGTGTACGGCTGCAAAAGGTTTAAGTGTTTCTAAGGTTTGTGTGATATTTGCAGGGTCCTGGTGACACAGACAATTTTAACAGTTACGGTAAAAGTGGGTTGAAAAATCTCAGAAAAGCTTCTGTCTCGTTAATAGCCTTATAGGAATGTTCATAGCACAATAGGGCTATCTGTGGTCTCCTGTCAGATAGGGTATGGGAATGGAGTCATGCATGGTCAGGTGACAAGCTCACTCATTCTGTTTACTTGTCTCGTATTTCCAATCATGATACAAGCTTGAGTTTGGTATTCTAGAGTCTAGACCTCAATGCCCAACCTCGCCTTGTAGGATCTTCCTCTCCCTGACCGCCATTTTGTTTCCTTCCTACTACTTCTGTTGAATTCACCAGAATGTCCTTCCCCAAGAAAAGCCCAATTCCTTCTTCCTGTCCCTGGTTTCCAGCACAGCCCTTTGGTGCCTCTGCCCAAACATCCACACACCAGACACCAGGCCAGCAGAATCTTCTGAGGACTTTGTGTACAATTAATTTCCAGGAAATTAAATTACACACAGAGACCGCAATTTGAACATTAACTGCAGATTACAAAGCAGAGGGGCATTATCTCAGTCAGGAGCACATTATATAAGGTAAACAAAAAGTATTAAGTAATTCTTTTAATTTTAAACTTTATATAATAAGAATGCGATGTGATGACTGTAATCCGTGTGAGAGTGCAGAGTAATCTCCCACGGGCCGAGGGAGTAATTGATTACACAAGGCACTCTCAAAGGCTGGCCTTTCCAAATCTCTGTGCCATTTGCTGAAATGTAAATGACGCAAACACTGAGGGGGAGAGAAAGGGGGCATTTATTCACCACGGCATTTACAATGAATTTCCTGTCTGCCTGGATTCTGAAAGCACTTCAAGGTCTCAGAAATAACTCTGACTAAATTGATAGTGACAAGAAGGTGCAGCGGCGGTAAGACTGAAAAGAGCCATGTGGCAATTTATCACCAGCGTACCCAAGAATCTCCAATCCAGCCCCAATATTTTACTAACAGCAGCTTCAGGCGCAGAACGCAGTGACTTGGTTTTTACATCTGATGCATGTGCTCAGAATGAAAGAAAAAAAAAGACCTGCCACATCGTCATTGTGAACTTGCTACTGGTCACTCGCTGGCAACTCAAGCGGCACTTACACTTAGCTGGGGCAGTGGTGGGGAAGCATGCGTGTGAGTGAGAAGTTGCAAGTCTGAATCTCCGACCAGTGAGGTACCCTGAGCATGGTGCTGCTCCCGGGTGCTAAATAGTAGCTGCCCACTGCTATGTCACAATGGCCCATATGGGTTTAATGCAGAGGGCACATTTCATTGTGGTGTGAGAACAATTAATTGGTTTTTCACTTAGTTGGCCCCTTGATGGCTGCATGCTCATAATTTTCTGCCCGCATTAATTGTCTGGCTTATGCGTCATTTTGGACAAAAGTGTCTGCTTAAAAAATAAATGTAAAGGTAGGAAGTGAATATTTAATTTATATGCTGTACCAGTGAAAGGATGAAAAAGTACCAGAAACTAATTAAGACAATGGGTCCCTTTTCCATGGGACAAAATAATTTTGTGCTGTGTGTGGAAATTGTGCTCTCAAATCGTATCTCTGATCTGTAGGTAAGCATTTGCCTAATTCCGAAACAATCATGAGAGCCAAAGTGGCACGGTATTCTGATGTCCTGTTCAGGGAATAAAGGATGGCTTTATTACCATCAGATGACATCAGACTTTACGCCCAGACCATCAAATCCGTCTTAATTGCCGGGCTGCTAATGAAGACTGGCATGAGCGCGCTCAAAAGCTCTTGCACGCCCTCGCACACGCTTGCATACGCGCACCCGCTGCAGCCTGGCACCGGACCACATCTGTTCCCAGCACGGCGTACATCTCAGCTGCTTCATCCATCACAGGCCTGCCCCGGAGACGGATGGGAGGCCTCTGGGAAGCGGTGAGCGTCTCTCCATCAAATTGATGTTTTGAAAGTAAGTAATCAGTGTTCTCCACAGGTACTGTACTCCTTCCATAGTAACCTCACTGCTGTTGCAGAGGTCCCTCTCCCACCAGATGCCCCCCCCCCCCCCCCCCAGAATACCCAGGTAGGGTTTCACAACAGCATTGCATTCTGGGTACTGCATATCCTTTCTGCAAGTTGACAAATAATGTCTCGTTTTAACCTTACAAAAGTACCACCCTATTACGTTTCTCTTTTACAC